ACTCTTTCTCCCGAGAAACCAACTAGAGGGTCATCGTATGGAACGAGCTCCTTTTCCGAGATGCCCAACTGCTTGAAGGTGTTCCAGTACAAAATGTCGGCCGAACTACCCTGATCCACCAACGTTTTCTTCACTATGCAGTTGTGGATTTCAACACTAATTACCATTGGATCATCTTGCACGGGGTCAATTCCTTGAAAATCAGCATCAGTGAATGTTATTGCTGGTAACCTCCGAACGGGTTGTCTATCGACCGCATTGACCGAACGAACGGCGCGCAAATGCCTCTTTTGTGCCGAAGAAGTTGAGCCTCCACCGGCAAACCCCCCGGCGATGGTGTTGATGACTCGCCTATGGGAAGCTGTAGGCTCATCTTTCCTTTCGCGTGACCAGCTTCGGTCGTGGCGAGGTCTATCAGCCCGGTCTTGTCGAGGTCGGTCGTGTCTAGGTTGATACTGGCGCAATTGATGCGAATCGGGCCGATCAACGAAATTATGAAGCTGGCCTTGCTTGATTAAATCCTCGATTCTGTCTCGGAGGGCCGCGCACTCCTCGGTAGAGTGCCCCCTATTGCGGTGATACCGACAAGATTTGCTAGTATTGGCGCGTGGTGGCGTGACAGCTCTTTTTGGGACGGCCAACACCTCTGATGCTAGAGCTTGTTCAAGCACCGCAGCTCGGCTTGCATTGAGGGGAGTATAATGAGTGTATTTCGGACCCCGCGTTGGTCGGTCACGAAGAGTTATCTCCTTATTTCGCCCCCGATAAGATGGTTCTACTGGCTTGTCAGACTTTCCCGATGGTTCAGCTCGGGCTTGATTTCGGAACTCAGCCAACTCCTCCATCTGCATATATTTATCGGCTCGTCTTCGAAGTTCATTCATGTCTGAAGGGGGTTTTTTGCACAGGTTATTGACGAATGGCCCGGGCTTCAAATCTGTCGTCAGATGATGGAGTGCCACTGCGGGATTAAGATCTCGAATTTCTAAAGCGGTTTTGTTAAAACGATCCATGAAAGCCCGGAGAGTCTCCTTCTTATCCTGCCGAAGACTAACCAACGACAGAGATGTCAAACTGTGAGGCCGACTCGTTGCAAATTGAACCGTGAACTGAGAAGATAGGGTGTTGAACGAGTCAATAGAGTTGGGGGGGAGCCGAGTGAACGACAACACTGTTGTCTATCCTGGTAATTGAACTTTACCTATTTTTCTCTTTAGGCTTACTTTGATTCTCACACCTTTACTCATTTTCGATTTTCCCCTATTTAGCTGCTACTGCTCAAAAAGTTCCTCGTCATCAAGAAGACACTCAGCCCTCAGAGAGTGTTTTGGAAGATGATAAAGAGAACACTTCGTTGAAATCTCGAAAACGAAAAAGTGCTTCAGACAGGTTTTCCCTTCGCTCGAGGGTAAGGACATTGAAAATATCTCATCTCTTTTGCAATTGTGATGAATTTGTGGTTGTCACCAATTTATGTATTTTCTTTTGTTCTTTGTATGAGGTTGAAGTTCCTAAGAGAAGACTTCATTCGGACTCTCATAGTGGTCAATCTGCAAGTTATTTTTTTTTGCGAAATCGAAATCGTTTTTCAAACGCCATTCTGATCTCCTCGCCCTTCGACTTGTTTCAAGTTTCCACTACTCGGAGGGCCTCCAAAGACAAAGGGAAAAAAGTAACTTCGACTAAGTATGTCCCTAAACCAAAGATTCACACTGAAAAGCTCTTGAAGGATGTATGAAACCCCCTGTACAGGTAATGTGCTTGTCCATTTGTACAAACAACATTCAATACCATTCTGTTAATTCGATTTCATCCTTCATAACGATCACCTTTTTTAGAAAAAGGTGGTTGCAGAGGTGTTTGAATCTTCTTCTAAGAGCCCTCGAAGTACCCCCTTGACTGAGAATGTTTCTCCTATTTCCCCTACCGATGCTCTACATTCGCAAGATGTCATAGATCTTGAAGCAGCATCTCCTTCTGAACGTCCATTTGCGGTATATCATGTTGAATCTCGCTTTTCACTTTATTTCGATTATTCTCGAAGTCCTGAATTACCGAAACACTTTCTTGACAGGCTATCTCTACTAATGTTACCATGGCCAACGTTCCCATCACTGTGAAAACTGTCGAGGCTTTTTCTCCAGATCCATTGCAAGGCAATGCGCCTTCGTTCAATTTCGATACAGGCGTATCCTCTAATCAAGGTGGGTAATTGTTTCTTTGGCATTGGGCTTATTCTCTAGATTACCTCAGTCTTTGTAACATTTCTTTTTTGCACAGGTTTTGCCTCTGAGGATAAATTTCAACAATCCTCCCCCCTCGATCAACTCGCGAAGACAATTGATGTTGTACCCTCGAAAGCTCCGCTCACTTCCATTCCCCCTAATGATGTGGACCTCATGAGCTTCTTTGATGACGAAGCTGCTCAAGATGATATTTTTAAGGTCTTGGAGAATTGGACTAGTGGGACCTCAGCCTCAAGTAAAACCCAAGAGGTGGTTGTGAGTTTTCAACCTCTATTATCTTCCTTCCGCTCGAAGGCGTATGTGGATAATCTCGAGCAAGCTCTTATGATTCAAAATAGAGATCGAGCGGATGGTTGATGATCTGAATGCATTTCCCAATCTTCCTCTGGAGGTAACAATGGAATTAAACGAATATGTTCATACTTTTGTTGCTGCCTCTGAGTCGCGCACAAAGTGGTCAACTTCGAATCAAGAAATGGCTCAGATTGAGGTTGATAACGAAGAAGATCGAACCAAATTAGAAGAACTCAAAGCAGAGCTTCTCTCGATTAAGGACTCCACATCTCAGTTGATTCCAGAATTGATGAGTCTTAAACAATCTGAGGAAGATACGAAGAATTCCCTTGCAGCCCTACAACGAGAGCTTGATTTGATCAAATCCAAACATGCTGCTTTGAAGCTCCAAAGTCAAAAGATTATGTTGAAGCAGAAAGACCTAAGGGAAGAAGGAAAAGGCATATCTCTCAGACTCTCGAAGTCATTGGAGCAAAAGAGAAGATTGGAAGTATTGTGTGCTTCAAGGAAACAAAGTCTCGATCAGGCATATCAGGCCTATGAAGCACTCAAATCCAAATTCTACAAATGACCGAGAAGATCAGAGATGCCCATATATATTTTTAATATTTATCCTTTGTACCTTTATTGCTTATCTCTCTAGACACCAATCCTAGTACATGTTACTTTCGTGAAATTTTTTTAAGTATTTTTCGTTGATCACTTTACTCGTATTTCTTAAATTTACTTCTCTGATCAAATATGCATTCTTCGAGTAGAGTCTTTCGATAACGAACGGTCCTTCCCAATTGTAGGACCATTTACCATGATCTCGAGATTTTTGGTCCATTAGGAGGATAACTTTTAAGACTAAGTCCCCACTCGAGAATTGTTTACTCCTGACCTTTTTGTTGTAAACTCGAGCTATTTTCTCTTTCTATTGAATGATATTCTGCATGGCTATCATTCTTTCGCCATCCAGTCAAATTAGCTCATCATACATTTGATTCCAATAATCTTCGACTGGTAGATCGTTTTGCCTTTGCACGTGAACGAATTGTAAGTTGATATCAATAGGCAAAATTGCTTCGTGACCATAAACCAACTTGCATGGCATAGTTCAAGTGGCATTCCTCGGTGAATTTCTCTAGGCCCACAACACTTGCAATAATGTTTCATGCCAAGTTCAAGGTTTCCCCGAAATATGTTTCTTAATCAAAGCTATGATTACTTTGTTAGCAGCCTCGACCTGGCCATTAGCTTGTACATAGTAAGGTGTCGAAGTAATCAGTTTGATTCCTCTCTACTGAGCATATTGCGTAATTTTTTGACCTATGAATACCGTACCTTGATCTGTCGTTATCTTTTGGGGTATTCCATATCGAAATATGATGTGGTCTTCGATAAAATCTATCACCTCTTTTTGATCTACCTCTTTCATAGGAACTGCTTCCACCCACTTCGTGAAATAATCGATGGCCACAATTATGTGTCTGTGGTTTTTCGATGATGGAGGGTGAATCTGGCCAATTATATCAATTGCCCAACCTCGAAATGGCCAAGGTTTAATAATCGAATGCAACTCCGTTGCTGGTAATTTATGTATTGGACCATGCTTCTGACATTCTTCGCAACCTTTTGCAAATTCGATACAGTCCTTGAACATACTTGGCCAAAAATATCCTTTTCTGGACAAAGTCCGTTTCATTTTCTCCCCTGCTTGATGAGATGCACAAATACATTCATGTACCTCTGCCATGGCTATATAGCTTTCATGATTTCTGAGGCACTTAAATAAGATTCCATCGAAGCCTCTCTTGTATAATTCATCATTCAATATCACATAATTGAGAGCTCGATATTTAATCTTTCTTTCAGCTTGCAAACTTGGACTTTGTAGATACTCGATTAGCTCTTTCCTCTAGTCCTGAATGGTTGAGGTATTAATGATGAGGCATTCATGATCGTCACTTAACTCATTCTCTATACGAATAAGAGACTCGAGACATTCCCTGCTTATCTTGTACCCAGATGCAATTTGAGCTAATTCATTCGCGCTTTCGTTCTCGTTTCGAGAGATATGTTCTAATTGGACTTCGTCGAATAAATTTAACAGGGCTATAGCTAGAGACTTGCATTCGAGTAGCTTTTCATTCATGCATCTATATTCTTGTGTTAACTGTTTAATTACGAGTTGTGAATCACCTCGAATGATTATGTTCCTTGCCCCCAAATATTTAAGCAATTTTAGCCTAGTAATCAATGCTTCATATTCAGTTTCATTATTCAAGCACTTGGATTTCGTTCTCAATGAAAATTTTGTGGGTATTCCACTTGGGGAAATGATTAATAATCTAATTCCCGCTCCTAACTCGTGTTTCAATCCATCAAAAAATAGTTCCCATGATTTCGTGGTTAAGTAGTTAACTTGTTCTATTAAATTTGAGTGGTCCACGAGAAAATCAGTGATTACTTGTCCTTTTGTGGCTTTAAGGGGAACAAACATTAATGAATACTCGATCATGGCAAGAGCCCATTTTCCAACTCGAGAATGAAGAATAGGTTTCGATAACATAAATTTAATCTTATTACTTCGACAGAACACGAATACATCATAAGGTTTGAGATAATGTTTCAGCTTTGTACAAGCATAATATAAACTCAAACATAACTTTTCTAAAGGATCATATCTAATTTCTGCCTCGACTAACATCCTACTAATGTAATAAATAGCTCTCTCGCTACCATTCTCATCATCTTACGCCAGCATGCCCGCAATAGTCAAATCATTGGCCGAGACGTATAACTTTAACTTTCTACCTTCAGAGGGTGATACCATCACTGAAAGGTTGATCAAATAGGACTTGATCTCCTCGAATGCCTTTTGATGGTCTTCGTTCCATCAAAATTCTTCCTCCTTTTTCAGACGTAACAAAGGGGAAAACACCTTAGTCTTTCCTGATACATTCGAAATAAATCTTCGAAGGAAATTAATCTTACCTAGTAAAGATTGTAACTCTTCTTATTCGAAGGAGGCTTGGTTTCCATGATTGCTTGAGTCTTGTTCTTATCCACTTCAATGCCTTTCTAGTGTACGACGAATCCTAGGAAGTCCCCCGCTGAAACACCGAAAGCACATTTTAACGGATACATCTTCAGCCCATGTTTCCTCATTCTCTCGAAAGACAATTTCAGGTGTTCAATGTGATCCATCTTCCATTTATATCCAATAACTATGTCATCAATATAAACCTGCATGAATTTACCGACCAGGTTATGAAAAATTAAGTTCATTGCTCTTTGATACGTTGCCCCGACATTTTTAAAACCGAAAGGCATTACTACCCATTCGTAAGTTCCCAAAGCACCTAGGCATCTAAAAGAAGTTTTTGGCACATCATTTTTAGCAATATAAATCTGGTTATACCTAGAATATCCGTCTAATAAACTCAAAATTTCATTACCTGCCACGGAATCGATCATTATTTCTACAA